CCTCCTCCTCCTTCCTCTCCTCCTCCTCCTCCTCCTCCTCCTCCTCCTCCTCTTCCCCCTCCGCCTCCTCCTCCTCCTCCTCCTCCTGCTCCTCCTCCTCCATCCTTTTCATCCTCCGTGTCCTCCTCTTTCTTCCTCCTTCTCCACTCCTGACCTCCACCTCCTCCTTCTCCTCCTCCTCGAGTAGGGGTGTGAATAGACCTTGGCCGCCTGTGAGGCGGCTCTGTGGCTGTAGGCTGTGGTTGTCCAACATATTCCCTCCTCTTCCAGAGCAGCTCTCCAGGCCAGCCCGCCAAAGACGTCGGGAGGGTGGGCGAGGAAAGTATGCGAGAGGGCCTCCTCCGACGAAAGTATGCGCGAGGCCCTGTACCCGCCCTGCATGCCCCCTCTGATGAGGGGGTGGAGGGCAGGAGGAGAAAGGATACCCGTCGGTCGAAAGAAGTAGGTAGAAACTTGAAGTAGGAAGGCGTTGAACATAGATTGGGTTCCGTCCGCCCCCCAGGGAGGACGGAAAAGGTGAAGCCACTCGATCATTGATGTAGTAAGGCGCTTAAGGTAGATAGGAATATGGCAATCCAAAACAAATCTACCTCCAACCACCGATGGGTAGAGGGGGAGAAGGGGGAGGAGATGGAGGAGGACAAGCAGGAGCGGAGGAGCAGTAGCACCAAAAAGGTGGAGGGTCAGGAGAGGGATGGGAAGGGGGAGGGGGACAGAGGGCTGGAGGGAGGGCAGGAGGAACAGGAGGACGAGCAGAAGGATGAGGAGCAGGGGTCAGAGAAAGAGGAGGGAGGGGGCAAAGTTTGAGGGGAAAGAGGGAGGTATAAGGAAACGTAAGAGGCGCGGCGGCGGCGGAGCGGTGTCGGGCCGAAGGTCGATAAGATTCGCCTTAAAACAATCTTCCGAACACAACTCGAGAGATTGCGACCTACCGTGCGTGCCCCTTGCGGGGACGATTCGAGAACGGCCACCCCCTCGGGTGGGAGCCCCGATTTGTCATCGCTCAACCACGATTGCAAACGCGAGGCGCACTAAGTTTGGGCCCAGGACCGAGCGGCGAAGCGGACACCAGGGTCAAAAACGTGTGGCAGCTCGCACGAGCTCCTTAAAGCTGAACTGCCTGGCAGGAGGAAGAGGAGGGGGAGGTCTCGGAGGAGGAAGACCTGACGGGCTGGCGACGGCGGCGGCACGAGCCTCGAGGTCGCACTCCCTCTCAGTGCGCATCGCCGAGGCCCTCGAGACAATCGGAGAAGGCAAGGCCGCCGCAGCGCAGCGCTGGCGATCGCTGCATGGGGAGGTGGGAGCATGCATCAGCGATGCTGCTATACACCAATCCACCACAACTTCCCCCCTCACACACGAGCCCATCACGAGCACTCCCGTCCACCAGCAACGGGACGAGCTCCCTTGGGAGACGAGCACCCGTGTCGTGGCCTAAGCGTTTGCAAAGAATCCGCCCTCCATCTTCCCAGCAAAACGGCATTCGGAGGAGCAGTTGGAGCGACGAGAAGAGCCGGGCCTTTCGCGAGATGGCATAGCGACCTCACGCGCTGGCTCACGCGGGCCGCCAGCACGGCACGGGCGCTTGCGCGCAACCTTGCGCGGACAGCTCACGCACTGATGTCCGCGCAGTCGAGGCCGGTGTTTCTGCGCCCTATGGAGGAACAAACAAAACATAACTTTCGGGGCGGGGGCTCCGTGCACCGACCCGAGAAATCCGCGCGGACCTCCGGAAGTTGATACCTATGCCACTTCCTGTTCTCTGAGCCGCTCCTAGAACTTGCGCCACACAGCTTACACAGCATAACTTGCACTTCACAGCTTCCACCACGTATATTGGACAACCTAGTCTGCTTGAAGCCACTCTTTGGGGTCCAGACTGGCTACCATGATTATGCGGCCCATTCCAGAACCCCTGAACCTAAAAAGGTTGCCATCTCTTGGAAGGCCACAATTTGGTGCCGCCAACTTCTGCTGGCCTTCCGCCGGATTCCGCTAGCGGAGGCGGCCTAGTCTTACTTCCCTTCCGCCATCTTCCGTCGCCCTTCCGCCGCCTTCCGCCGAGGAAGAGACGGCAACTCCTTCGATCGATCCTCAGAAGGCGAGGCCCTTTTTGTAACGCCTCATGTGTGCTGTTGTTCCCCGAACCGCCCCTATGCGAATAGCCCCGAATTTCACCACGCAGATTGCATCACCCAGTCAGATGCCAGCCAGCCCGCCGGAGGCGCGCCTGCCACGCCGCGCGGCGCCGCCGCGGGCACCGCTGGCGCTGCGGGCATCGGCGCCAGTGGGCCGGCTAGGGGTTCGCCCCACGCGGCCCGGCTGCCCGACGGCGGCGGCCCGGCGGCGGCGGCTGCAGCGGACGGCGGCTGGTTGCGTGATCCCAGACACCTGGCATCTCGAAAAAATCGGGAACAGGGTGTTTCATGGTTTTCGGTCTCTCGGGACCGTTAAGCACCGGTCGCAGGGAAGTGGTCGAAAGATCGGGGCCCAATGTATCGAAGCAAGGGAGACGCCGGATGTCTTGGAGCATCGAGCCATCACCAAAAAACATGACTGCCCATGTTGGACATGAGCTGACAAGATCTCTGTCGCTATAGTGTCGGTTATGGGCCACGTCTGCACTGCCACTCCTCGACAAGAACCTTGCCCCGAGTTGTGGCCGCCGCGATCGCGGCGAAGACACCCCAAGATCGACCTGGAGGTTTGGTTTGGGGTGGGATCTCACGCACAGAGCGGCGGCGGCGGCGGCTGCAGCGGTCAGCTGCCCAGAGATCCGAGGCTCCGGAAAGCTCAGGGCGCCAGCACGGGCTACGGGGCCGCAGAAGACTGTAACTGCTGCACGCTCCACGGCCGTCAGAGACGGTCCCAAGGCATCTCCAGGGCCGGTGCTTCGCCCCGAGCCGGCTCGGGACGAATAACGGGCCCCATGGTAGGGAGCCCAAGAAGAACGTACGCGCCCAACATGTACATGAACACGGCCCCTTGACCCGCGAGACTGGCCGCGTGATACGACCATTCGCGCAATGCGAACTCTCGAGACCAGCGTGGATTCATGTACGTGTACGTCCTTCTTTCGCTCCCGACATAGGGAAGTGGTCCAGACCTCCAGGGTCCACGCATCAAGAAGTTGAAGCGCGGGGTCTCCAGGTGCGGCGGCAGCGACGATGGCGGCGGCGGCGACGACGGCGAGAACGACAGCGGCGGCGGAGATGCCGGTCCCCCGATTTCGGAAGCTTTCGGACGTGGTCCTGACACCAGCTTCTGGCGCCACTTAGGGGACCCCCCGGGCCCTCTGGGCCGCGCGAGGGGAGCTCGGAAAGCCCCCCGGGTCTCCCTCGGAGAGGGTGGGGTCATCCGTTGGCCGCTGGGGCCCCCCGGTGGTGGTTCAGGGCCGCTGGAGTCCGCCGAGGGCCGCCATGGCAGGGGCCGCCGAGGGCCGCCGTGGCAGCGCGCATGGAGGGGTAGCGCGAGGGGAGCGGCCTTCTGAGAAGGCGTGGGAGCTGCTAGGAAGGCAGAGGGCTGCATCGGGGAAAAAAAGGTGCGAAAGCAGAGGGCAGGGTAGAGGATCAGCTCACGTGGCTGGTTTTCCTGGCGTTTCCTGGTGCCGGGAGGCACCCACGTATCGAGGAATGAGCCCGGCGGCGAGGCTGAAAGCTGCATGCAGCAGATTTCGTAGCCCGCCCTTTCCCTATCCAGCCCTCTCGTGTAGCCCGAGCTCAGCGGCATATAAGAAGCCTTCTTGGAAGCCGCCGGGCCTCTCAAAGGAGGCCCCCCCGCCTTTTGAAAGCACCCCGCCTTCTTGGTAGAAGCCCCCTCCCACCGCGCCCCCCCCCTGCGCAAGCTGCGAGAAACCGCCTCGGGATCGCCTGAGGTCCGCCGGAGGGCCACCAGAGGGCCGACGAGGGCCGGCGAAAACCGCCGAGGGTCGGCCGACGCCACCGAGGGAGGGCCAGAGGTTACCTCTGGCAACGCACGAGGAAGACGACGGCAGGATGAGGACAAACTCGGATAAAGATAAACCGGGAATCTATGGGCACCAGTGGGTCTGGATGAGGTATCGGGCGCCGCGGCTCTCTGACATGGTCCGAGAGCGTTCGGGAGCGCTCTGGAGCAATGCATCCTGGGCATGGCGTCGGCGGCGAGCGAGGGGGGGAATTCAGAAGGAGAAGGCCTTCTCAGAAGGCGGTGGGGCGAAGCCCTCGCGCCTTCTGAGAAGCTTGCTGCGTCTTCACGAAAGGCTAAGAAAACTTCTCCGAGGGCCCGAAGTCTTCCGAGCCTTCTGCGAAGGTCCGCCCCTTCTCACCTCCCTCCGGGCGCGCCGCCGATGAAGGTGAATAGATCTGGGCATGAAGGACGCGGGTCCTCGGGTAACAACTGGTCCTTGATCCTGGGGCCCTTCTCCCCAAGACCAGCCCACTCGTCCTGCCTCGTTGCTCGGCAGCCCTGGGGCCCGCGACAGCAACGAACAGAAGACTCGGGACCCGCCTCCGATGGAATCCGCTTGCTTCGTGGCCCGGGTGTTGCTAGAGTTAGGTCGGGCCTGTCCCCCTACAGGGGGATGTTCTACGAAAATAAAAAATTACCCCAAACATACTCCCCCAAAAAATACTCAAAACAAGTCCCCATACTATTTTTGGATTATGTTTGGGCTATTTTTGCGGCATGTTTTTATTATTTGTCGTCGGTAATCCCCCTGTAGGGGGACAGGCCCGACTTAATGCTAGAGGTGCCCTATGGCCAAAGGTGCCCCATGGCCAAACCCACAGGTGCCCCAACGGCCTCCAGAGCACACCTGACGAGGCCCAGAGGGCCCAGAGGCTCCAAATTTGGAGCGGGAAGCGGGGGGCACCTTGGGCCAGCGGCGCCTGTTTTGGCGGCGGCCACAATGGGATATGGGGGAGGGGGGAGACTTCTTAGAAGAAGGCTCCGGCCCTACATCTATAGACAAGGCCACCGCCTTCTAAGAAGTAGGGGTGCTTCTAAGAAGCCTTCCCCCCTTCCCCCTCCCCCCCTCTGCGCGTGGCTGACTGTAGCGTTAGGCAAGATCGGTAAGGGCAAAAGAGACCGCCCTGGAACCTCCAACGAAATATCTTCCCGCGAATCCCTGCGCATCCCCAGCATCTCCCAAAACACCTTCCGGCGAATCTCCAAGAGATCGAAGAACCTTCGCCACTCGGGGGTTGCGGACCACAGTGGCAGCCCCCGAATGGCGAAGGGTCTTCGGCGGCGAGGCCCCTGCCCGAGTCAGGGCCGCCCCCTCTGCCCGGCCCGGGCGGCGGTGCCCCCTCGCGCGCGACGGGGGGTGGGCCCGAGAGGTAGCAAGAACGGCTGCGGCAGCGCGGGCCGGCCGCGCCCCAGGCACGACTCCTCTGCACCTGCTGCTGCTCCGCCGTCCTCAGCTGGGACGAGGCCAGGGCGAGGAAAAAGTCGGGTGAGGATACAGATCGAGAATTTTTCTGAGATCCCGTGGCTCTGGAGGATGCCTCGGGCGCCGCGGCCTTCTCAGAGCGTTCCGGCACGCTCTGGGAACGTTCCGGAACGCTCTGGAACGGATTCATCCTCGTCCTACCAGCCCAACCAGCTTCTCCCCTGTACTTGCAGCAACTGCACGCTTGGGGATCTCGTCAGCCCGCGAGGCCCTCGGCGCATGCAGCCGCTGCAGACAGATGAGTGGGTGAGAGATACGGGATGGACAGACTACTCCTTGCGTGTGTTTCTCAAGCGGTGGCGGCACCGTCTGCTCCTCCCTCTGCGCACACCCGCCCTCCTGCGCCTGCCAAGCTTTGCCCTCGACCCGTGAGAGCTTCGAGGTAAGACGAAGCCAGGACGAAGATAACATCTGTTGAGGGTAGATCGAGAATCTCAGAGATATGGCGGCTCTGAAGGATGTCTCGGGCGCCGCGGCCTTCCCAAAAATATCCAGAATTCTGAAAGCGATCAACGCTCTGGGAAGGATTAATCCTCGTCCTAGCCCTGTCCGACGAGGGCAGGAATTGGGGAAATCACATGGTACCGATACTGCTACTCCCCGGACCTCTCCCAGGGTGCGCTCTAAAAAGGATCTCTAGGCGAATCCAGCGGTGGTGACGAGGGCCTCCCAGGATGCCCCAGAAAAGAGAAAACGGGCGAAGGGTTGCGGTACGGGTACCTTTTCTCCAAGAAGTGGACCGCGCCCGCGGCAAAGCCTGCAGCGGGACCTTCTCCACACTAGCTTGCACTGCTGCTGGCTGCTGCCTCCATTCGCTTCGTCCCCCCTTCTGCCCTCCACTCGAGGTGGCGACGTTGCCCGTCACCCTACACAGCTGGACCAAAGACAGAAGCACATCATTCTTGGGCGTCGCATACTTGGGAGGCGATGATTGGGGGGGAAGAAACGTGCATTGTTGGGGGCCCAAAGGGCCCCTTTAGGGGCTCTGAAGAACCCCTTTCCTGCAGCCCTCGCTGCCCCCCCCATGAATCACACTCCCATTACGCGACGCCCAACCTTCAAGAGCAGAAGACCCTCCGCCGGCCAAAACACCCCGAGCCGTAAGATCAACGAGGGTACACTTCCCCAGGATGCACAGGAAGATGCGGCAAACACGAAATACACTAGGGCACCCGCCCCGAACCGACCTCGATCTTACACTTCGGTCCCACCGTACCCTCCTTCCCTGACCTTCCGGCAGGGCTGAGAGCTAGCACCAGGGACTCCTAATCCCACAAGCCCTTCAGGGCGTAAGCGGTTTACAGCGCTTTCTCTTCCAACTCTTCTTCTTCCCCTTCGGGGAGAGGTTTACCCCAGCGTCGCGCACAAGGGCTCGGTGTTGGTTCCCAGTAGCCACTCATCCAAGGACGACCGCTGAACATGCTGAGGCTTGGGTGTTACTCATGTGTTGGAAGGGCGGGAGGGAGTGAGCTAGACGGCTTGCTATGTAGGAGGGTGTCTTGACCCCTCCCCCGACCCTCTCCCCTGGACCCCGACGTTCGGTGTTATTAAAAACGCTGGGGGGCACTGTTTCCGTTTTCAAGATCGATGTTTTCTTCCCGTGGTCGTTGTCGTTTTCTTTCCATGTTGCGAATGTGGACCACCGTTTTCTGTCAATTAGGACCTCCGTTTTTTACTTGCGTTCAATGACCGTGTTGTTTCCGTTTTCAGGCCTGGAACCGGGGTGCGCCTTGCCGCGCCGTTTGTTTATGTGTTTGTGTTACGTGTTCAATGCGTTTTCAGATTCCCCACAAACGCCAATCACGTTTGGGCAATTTCGTCCCCCGTGTTGGCACTCCGTTGCCTTCTCGTTTTTAGCTCGAACACGATGTTTTCAGTTCGTTTTGGGCTACCGTTTTG